AAATTCTAATAATCAAGAGCAGCTACAATAGGTGATTCCATTTCATTTCACGGTTAATGAATTTAAAGTTTGTTTGAGGATGTCTAGAACGAAGTAGGAGAACTACCATGGTCCAGAGCTCTAATCACCAAAATGTGAGTTGAATTTATTAGCAATGCCTTATATTTTGTCAATTATTGATTTGTTGATAGTTTGTTTGATATTTCTTTGTTGAGACCGAGAATTTTCTATTCTGTGAGAACTACAACTGTTTTTAAGTAAAGCATACAAGTAAAAAATAACACGAGAAACAAAATTCAAAGGCGTAAAAGATGAAAAAACAGTTAAGGTGGTTTTGACGCAATGAAAGGACATTGGACGCATCAGTTAGAAGAGTAGATCACATGATTTTCAGCCTTGCCAAAAAGGGTAGAGAAAGACCAAGAAAGAAGCTGAAGAAAATATTGAAAGGAATCTCACGGTGAACAGTTTTAACCAAATCCAATGCTATGGTGGCATTATGTGATTTATGTAGTCAACCCCTAAGTAGATAAAATTGATGCTGTGGTTATTCATATTTCAAATTTTGAATACAAGGCTCTTCATCTTAAACAATAAGCATTAAATGAAAATAGGAGAGGAGGGGGTTCTCCAGAGGAAAAAATAGAGGAGATGGAGGTTCAAGGTTTGAAACGGATGTTTCAGAGCAAAGTGAGAAAAAAAATCTAGTGTCTCTAGAATATACTAAAGAAGATGGGTAATTATGAATCAAACAATGTGAGTCTTGCTTGCACAGTAGACAGAACGTGGGAAACAACATCCAATTAGGAATTTTTTAAATGCTGAATATAGGAGGGAAATCTCAACTTCTCACCTGAAAAGCTTAAAAAATAATGCTATTTTGAAAAAAAAGGGGGTTTGCAAAAGGTCTTGGCCTAACACTGCCAAGGCCGCCATGCTGGCCATGACTGCAATTCATATATCCGTTATTCAAAACTTTGTAGCAGCTTATGGCCTCTCTGCGCCACTATAACACCCTATTATTGATAACTATAGTTCCTTAATCACTCTCCATATTGGACAAACCTTCACCGAAGTTCTTTTTTGAAGTTTATGACATATATATTCAATGGTAACATCCTTGATTTGTAACTTTTTTCAGACGTATGATACGGTCCCACTTTGAAGTTCTCACAAAGCATTATCCCCTGGTGTCTACATCAATTTCGTTTTGTATGTAGAAAATATTAGACAAATATTCCTGAGTATCCATCTTATATTTTTCGGAAGTTTGTCTTAACGATCCCCAATTTGGATCACATCTTCTTTTAGCAGGCTGGAATCATCAAGGCCCACCAGGAAAACATCAAAACCTATATGGTTCAATGATTACACTCAGGAATATGTTTTATTAGAATAATAAAAAGACATCCCTCTAGGATTGACTCACAAATAATTCAAGATTTTTATTAGTATTGTCAAAATGGATTAAAACCCGCATGTCAATCCGGCCCACCATAGTTCAAACCGGGTTGGATTTGAAAAAAATTAATTTTTTTTATATGGACTAATTTTCAACTCGGTTCACTTAGAACCCAGCTCACCCGGGTTGAACTCGTGATGAGCTGGATTGGCTCACCAACTCACCTAGTTTAATTTAATTACTTATTATTTTGTGTTTTAATATTATTAGTTAACATTTTTTATTGTATTGTAAATGGAAATAAAGAAAAAGATGTTTCAAGAGAGCAAAATATTATAAATTTATCCATATTGAAGACTCTAATCTTATAAATGGATAAATGACACAAAAGTTATCAATATTATAAACTTATTTATTCGCTTTCTGGGTTTGTTTTTGGATTACATTTGAGTTGTATGTTAATTTTTTTATTTTGAATTGTTTTTGAAGTTTAACATCATTTTACGGTGAAAATATTTAAATTTGAATTACAAAAAAAAAAAAAAACTTGTAAATGAGTCAACCCGTTTAACCCACCAATCCGTGGTGAGTCGGGTCAAATTCGAATTTTTTCGGCTCACTAATAAATGAGCTGGGTTGGACCGGGTGGCCCGTTTTGACAGCACTAGTTTTTATAAAACCTATCCATGTAACAAGAAAGGAAAAGAGAAAAACTTTAAATTTTCTCATTTTTTTTTGTTTAGTTTATTTTTCTTCTTCCTAGAGCATAACATTTTTTTTGTGTTTTCATTGATCAACCTCCATGCCTTCTCAACTAAACAAAGACCTAAATGAAACCTTGCAATCCATTTTGGACAAATTAGCCAACCTTCAAATACAACTTAACACTACTCAAGAAAACCACGATGGTGGCTACATAGTCTTTAACCAAGTCCTGGAATCTCGCCAAACTGCTTTGGAAACTATGCAGAACTTCCTCAACCATGCCCTCACTACTCTACTATCCATCTTATCTTCTCATTCTACTACCATACCACTGCCCCACGATATGGCCTTTAACGCTCTTCATATTTCCTCAAGCACCATGTCTTCCATTCAACCCCAACTTTCCATCCCTTCCAAGCCGTTTTTACTGCAACAACCACCCCAATCTTTTATCCTTGTATTAATTAATCATATATCTGTAATTCAGATTTATAATTGGAAATTTATGGCCTATCTTGTCATTGGACTTTAGGAATAGTATTTATGTGTGTAACTGTAGATCTTAAGAAAACATATCCCCAGTCAAACATTGGGCCGATTTCTTACTCTGGATTTAAATTAGTAGAGCATTTTGAAATTATGTTTTCCCAAACGTAGCAACTATCTCACAAAGGGGAAAATTGTAACCTTAGATATCAAATAGATACAAAAATGGTCAAGAAGAAAAAGAGAAACCTTCATATTACTCAAATTATTAACAAATCAAATTCAATAGCCATGCCAAAAATCCTAAAGTATAGCTAGACCAGACCCTGTGAAGGAACAGAGCCGCAAGGACATTGGTTGGATTGTCAAATTCTCCAATGACCTATGCAGCTATTGTTGTAAATATGAAAAATTATATTCATCAAACATACAAATGTAAGGAATCAATTAATTATTATCAAATTACATATGGAAGAATACAGGAGAAATATGGAAGAAATACGGCAAGAAACGGCCACGATGCATCAAGATATACAAGAAATCATGCAAAGGCTGGGTGGACGAAACAGGAACCAGGATGGACATGCAGATGGGGGCCAAGCGTCCGTCAACGAGAATCGGAGGGTGAGGCGGAAAGACGAAGGAGGAAGGGAAGGCGAACATACTGAGGGGCAAAACAGCTGGCGGAAACGGGTGGCGCTACCCGTCTTCGAGGGGATCGATCCGCTGAACTGGATCAATCAGGCAGAGAAATTGTTCGAGTTACGAAGGGTATTGGAGGAGGAAAAGGTGCGCCTAGCTGATATTAGTATGGAGGGGAGCGCTGGCTAATGGTTCAGAGCATGGAAGGAGAAAGCCAAGAATCGTTCCTGGGATGGCTTGAAGGAAGCCCTGGTGATAAGGTTTGGAACCATTGTTGAGCGTTTGGCGGCATCGAAACAGATGGGGACGGGGGAAGAGTATGTGCAGGGAGGCGAAAAGGTAAGGAAAGGGAGCGCGATAGAAGACGAGGCATCTGGGGGACGAACGCGAGGAGCGGTTACCGAGCGGTACGAGGCCAAGTACTGTAGACCAGACCGATTGGGATTAGCCGAACAGTCCGAGGCCGATCGCTATAACACAAGCCGATCGAGAGTTGCCGAGCGGTCAGAGGAAATAGAAGACCAGTCGACTTGGGGACGAACGAGCGGTCAGTGGACACAGTCCGAGGCCGATCGCTATAACACAAGTCGATCGAGAGTTGTCGAGCGGTCCGAGAACATAGAAGACCAGTCGTCTTGGGGACGAACAAGCGGTCAGTGGACACAGTCCGAGGCCGATCGAGGGTTGTCGAGTGGTCCAAGGTCAAGCGCAATATCCCAAGTGAGGTTGCCGAGCCGTCCGAGATAGAATTAGACCTGAAGCAGACGGAGTTGTCCACTCTCTCGGCTGGAGGCCCTATTCAGCCAAAAGCAATGAAGTTGCACGGTTCGATAGATAAAGAGCTGAACGGTAGAAGAGGTTATTGGAGCCGAACAGTTGAAGGGAACGATAGCTGAACGGTTGAGTCAGGGGAGAGGAACCGAAAGGTAGAGAAACATGGGAAAGCAAGTCGAGCGGTATAAAGATAGGAAGAAGAAGACCGAACGGTAGAAAAGCATGGGAAAGCAAGCCGAGTGGTATAAAGACAGGGAGAAGAAAACCGAACGGTCGAAAAGCGTGGGAAAGCAAACCGAACGGTATAAAGATGGGGAGAAGAAAGCCGAATGGTATAAAGATAGGAAGAAGAGAGCCCAACGGTAGAAGAAGTTATTTTATAGGGAAGGATAAGAAGCTCCTCGCTTTCAAGGAAATAATGCAGACACGAAAAGGGTCCTATAAAGTCTATATCTCATCTCGACCACCACCAAAGCCTCCTGACTGGAATTTGAGGGCATCCCATAAATTCTGTATTTCATCTCGACCACCACCCAAGCCTCGTGATTTGAATTGGAGGGCATAATCAGTGGGTTCCCTTCCTAGCATAACAAGATTATAAAGAGGAGCCAAGTGATCAAGTTTTTCGTTTCCAACCTTGAGGACAAGGTTGTTCTGCAACAGGGTGTAATGTTAGGATATGGGGTGGCAGGGTATAATGGGTAATGGGTTTAGGATAGAAGTAAAGAGCGGGATAGTTTGTTAGGCTGTTAGGGGGAGAAAGAGAGTATAAATAAGTCTTTTGGTAATTCTGTGAGGGGAGTTTTTTCGAATATTATTTTAAATCTGGACATTGGCCAGAAGAGGGGGATTAGGCCTCCGATAGGGTTAAGAGGGGGATTAGGCCTCCATTAACGCTTTCAGTATACTCTGTTCTCAATTTCAATACAAAAATTCATTCTTTTTTTTTTCTTTTATTTACTATGAGCGTTGATAGTTAAGTTTCCAACCCAAGAACCTAACACAATAGTATGTATTTGTCTTTTTCTCCAGTATTCCCTGGGTTTTCTTTAACTACAAAGCACTTAGTAGAGGAAAACAAACGTAATAATACTTGGTATGAAAGCATCACTGCAAAGATAATATGCCCCATGGTGATCAACTACAATTTAAACAAAATTTGATTGAATCGTACTTCTGTTCTTATTCAGTTTTGATGCTGTAGAATCAGAGTGCTAACTCAAACCATCCACAGATGTATGTGAAACTAAATTCATGGTCAGCAATGAAACACTATGTTCCGGCTGTCGCTCTTAAAATAAATGACATAAAAGAAAACATAAGAAATAAACAATAGCCCTGCAAATAAAAAATAACTGCTGGAAATTTGTAGCCATAAGATTTTGACAACTTTTCAGTATTGAATGTCTTTCTCTCCATATAGCAAAAAATCCTTCTATTGGACTAAAAATAAACACCATAACAAATACCCTGTCCAATCATACCAGATATACAATTTTACTAACCTTGTTTCACTTTGAGGCACTACTGTGATTGTCAGGGGTAACATAATAAAGTGCCTTCGCTGCTGCTATCGCCGAATCCCCTCTCTTAACAATTTTCTGTAGTTCCTCAACCTTCTCTGACAAGGATGCAACATTTGAGTTGGTCGACTGAACCAACTGATTAGCAGTTTCTAAAGAAGTGCATAACTGAACAAAAACGGTAAAATAATATATAATAAGTTGAATATGAAGACAGATTAATAGTGAGAACATGAGGATGAACTACTAAATCCCCTTGCCCTTCCCTCATGAACCAATAACGATAATCATAACAATGATAGATAAATACATCATTTATACATTCACAATGTAGTAAAAGGATTATACATTAGCCTCTTATCACAAATTGTCATCGATACTAAGTTTATTGAACTTTAACATAACTACCTTAAAAGTTATACAATTTTTTCTACCCTGATGCATAGAAATTAAACTCTAACAATAATAATAATAATAATAATAATAAGAGGAAGTCTAAAATGTAATTTTCCTACCTTGTCCTATTTTTTAGATTTAGTTTATTCACCTAAGTTTGAATTATTCTATTGTGATGGCTTATCGTGGGTTAGGGATTGAGAGGAATGGCACGATACCTTCAAAGTGAGAGAAGTCCAAGAGTGGTCGGTGCCGGAGAGAGCCGAATTCAAGTGATCGTAATATTCCTAAAACGACGAAAAGGAATGTCGTTTTAACGCAACTTACAATCTGAAGGGACAATAGATGAAAAGTACAAAAAACGAACCTGGAAGAGTGTAAGGAGGTTAGGAGGTGGATCGTTATCGTTGAGATGGGAAGAGGAGGGAGAGGGAGAAGCTTCGCGACGGAGAGAGTGTCCTTGTTGTTCTTCTCCGACGTCGTTCAGAAGATCTCCGATGCATAGAAGTGGCCCTCCGATTCCTCTCATTGACATTTTATCTCTCTGTTCGAAAGCCATACACATATAGTTGATGAATAGTTTTTAACCTGATTCGGAAGAGGAATCCCAAATCGGATGTCGTGTGATCGTTTTCGTTACATTACAATTCGTGATGAAGGAACAAACAATGACAAAATATAAAGAACAGAATAGAAAAAAGAAACTCAAAGAAATTAAATTTCAGTGGAAAAGATAAACAGCTGAGAAAATGAACAATGAATAAAATGAAAATCACATAGAAATTGGGAAGGTATGAGTACTGAGAAGGAGAAGATGGGAGAAAATCAACCTGGGAGAAGAAGACTAACCCCTGTACAGTAAGAATATGACCATGAAGATGTCTTGTCAGAAAGTTCTTTCTCAAAGTAATATTTTAAAATTATTAATATTTTTTCATACTTTTTTTATGTGACAACATGAATATGTTAACATACTTTCATATTTCACAGTGATATTATTTTTTTTTATTCTGATTTTTATAAAAAAAATTAATTTTATCTTGGAAAAAAAAAATTTGGCCCATTGGGATAAAGTACTAGTGAAGTGGCTCTGAGAGGGGGGAGGGATGGGGGAGAGGGGCGGGTAAGGGGGAGGGGAGAAGGGGGGAAGGGAAAGGATGGGATAGGAGGTCAGTCTTAGTTTTTTATATTAATATTAGTCTTTATATTAATTTTTTTTTAATATTTTAAAAAGAAAATAAAATTTAATTATTAAAATTTTTATATATTCTTTATTTTATAAAAAAAAATAAATGATTTTTTAATTTTTTTCTGTATCATACAATTTACTTTATATTAAAATAATATCAAGCACATTCAAAATTCATGAAAAATTATTCCAAATTCTCGAATCAATAATTATGAAGAAGTCAATAAAACAGGTGATTAGAGGATTATTTCACTGTTTAATTACTTAGTATTAAATAGAGAAAAACGCTTGAGTAGGGAAAGTCTAATGAGATACTTGTAACTAGTTGATAGTAGTAAGAAGTTTACCTTATCATATGAAAATTAATAGGTGGTTAGTTCCAATTGTTGACTCTAAGAGGATTCACTCAAAAATTGTTGGTGTTATCTATGACATGTGTAGGTCGGTGTTTGATTTCATAATCTTCCATAAATAAGTCATATATCCATGAAGTGGATGTATATGGTTATGATTGGCACGTGTGCATGGTTAAATGCGTGCTTGCCTAACCTGGAAAAATTTATAAAAAGGTGATGTATTTAAACGTCATTAGTGAAATATAAAAAGATAAGTATTATTGAAGTAAAGTGTAGTATAGATGATTAAAGTTTCTTGTTATAGGTTGATGATTATGTGTTTAATTTTTATTGTATGTATAAAATGTGTTTTAATAATTTAACTATTATATTAAATGATTGTGTGATATGTGTATATGTTTATAAGATTTATTGGACCTGATTGTAGCAAAGATAAGTGTGATAATCTATTTGGTTTTATTAAGTTAATATCTTGTCCATCAAAATTTCTATATACAGTTCAGTTTTGCTGATCATTATATCATTCCACATTTTTATATTTGAGGTGCAATTTACTTCTTTTAAAAGTATTATATATATAGTATGGTGTGATTAGTGATATACAAATTAAATATATATTTTTGTAAAATAATTATGCTAGTTGTGGGTTTCTTATATTGTTTGTTTTACGTGCAAATGTGATGTCTATTAATATTTATAATAATTATTGTGTCTTGGTTAATAAAGTATGAATGTGTTGTGTTTGTTTAACTATAATTTTAAATATTTCTCTTAAGTCTTATAATAGGAAAACATGAGAAGAAGATACCTTTATTTTTTTGTAAGTACATTTTCGAAGATGAAAATTGTTTATGGTTTTTAATAGTTAGGAAAAATATACTTTAAATAAAAGATAAAACAATTTGTTATTTATATTTAAAGGGTTTATTTTATTCTAAAAGACTTTCAAAAAAATAAGATTTGGCGCAAAATTATTTAATTAAAAAAATATTATTAGATATTGTTAGATTTTAAAAGATATTCTTGGATATTGTTATGTAATATATATATATTATATATCTATAATATATAATATATATATATATATATGTTTACAAATTAAAATATATCTTAAGAAATTGTTACAAATTAAAAGATATCTTCAAATATTATTAGATATAATTAGATATTATTGTTAGATAATAATAATAGTAATATAATATTAAATATTATTTATGAACTTATCAGAATGAATTAGAATAAAGCTAATTTTATTATATTATGAAAATAATGAACTTTTATAAGGATTTGAGAAATAAACATGTTATTACCATATTTGGGGGCGTGACCTTTTGATAGTGGCGACGTGTGACTGGGCCAAAAAAATTCCTTAGTGTGCTCTTGAAGGTTGAGAAGCGTTGGGAGATTCACTTGCAAAAGGTTTTCTAACACTCAAGTCAGTAAGAAATCAGGATATTTGACTATAAGAGTATTAGTGTATCTTTATGATGAATATGCATGAGTATATATAGGATCTCCCACACATATATATATAAATATACATATATCAGTGTATCATATGCCATTTATGCGATTTAAATATAGGATTGGTCTGTTGGAGATAGACAATTAAAATTATTAGATATAATTAGATATTATTGTTAGAAATAATAATAGTAATAATAATATTAAAATATTATTTAGAAACTTATCAGAATGAATTAGAATAAAGCTAATTTTATTATATTGTGAAAATAATGGACTTTTATAAAGATTTGAGAAATAAACATGTTATTACCATATTTGGGGGCGTGGCCTTTTGATAGTGGCGGCGTGTGACTGGGCCAAAACAATTCCTTAGTGTGCTCCTGAAGGTTGAGAAGCGTTGGGAGATTCACTTGCAAAAGGTTTTCTAACACTTAAGTCAGTAAGAAATCAGGATATTTGACTATAAGACTATCAGTGTATCTTTATGATGAATATGCATGAGTATATATAGGATCTCCCACACACACATATATAAATATACATATATCAGTGTATCATATGTCATTCATGCGATTTAAATATAGGATTGGTCTGTTAAACTACACTTATTTGACAGTAAAATCTATCGAAATTACAATAATAAACCCTTGATGGGCAACGCTGCCTGACCTTTTTAGGTCGGGTATTACATAAGTCCCCCCCCCCCCCCCGGGATTTAGTTAGGTTTGAGTCAACTTGGGTGATTTGTAGGGTAGATTAGCCTAGAGGCCAAATTCTTATATCGTTTGGCTGTTTGATCAAATTTGAAGGTGGATTGGCATCAAGACTGAGCTCACTCAGTGGCTAATCCAATCGAGTTTTAAGTAATTTGGCCTCAGGGTTGAACTCTCTCAAGGGCTAATCCAGTATGACTCTTTAAGCGACTCATCCAGCCAAAGTTTTTGAATAATCTAGCCTTGAGGCTTATCTTTTTTAAGTATGAAGGTCATTCGATCGAGCTCTTAAATACATAGGCTATTCAGCCAAGTTCTTTGATTAAGTTGGCCTCGAGGCCTAACCATTATGAAGTTGCGAGAAAACACTAGAAGAGGAGTTGAATGGTGTTTTCATAACTCTTTGACAATGTAAATGTTTGTTGATGACTCGTTGTTGACTTGTGTGTATGAAGTTTACTTCCATTAGGAATGAATAATTACTAAACAAACTATATCACACAAACAATATTGTTACTAGTTCATTCATTAGAGTTACATCCAGTTCTTCTCTAAGTTAACTTAGAGAGTTCCATAAGTATTCAATGAAGTACAATTGAGTATTTTAAACCACTCCTGGTGTCCCTAGTCGTATTGACTCCTAGTATTCATATACACTTTTGGTATCACTCTAATACACATTCTAATTGATTTTAACTCACTCCTGGTTGTGAAGTACTCTTCACCACTCCTGGTATCCCTAATCAGCGAATAACCTTCAATTAGCCTAGACCAGTTGACTGTTCTCACCATTCCTAGTATCTCTGGTCAGCAAATAACCTCTAATTACCCTAAACCAGTTGAGTATTCTCATCACTCCTAGTATCCCTGATCAGTGAATAACCTCTAGTTACCCAAGACTAGTTGAGTATTCACACTACTCCTGGTATCCTCATTGAGTGAATAACCTTCTGTTACCCTAGAGTAGATGAGTATTTGCACCACTCCTAATACTAGACAATTCTGGTATCCTCTAATACGTTGTCTGGATTTCCTTAACTCTCTTAAGTTAAGTTATAAGTATTTTGATTCTCTCCATAATTGTAATCAAATGATTGCTTAGAATTCGTTTAGACTATTACTCTCGTAGAGAGCATATATGTACAAATAGTACAATTTAAATATTTGCAGGTGTTTCTCTCTTCACACTTTTCTCTCTTCTTACAACAGTAAGCAAATATTAGAATAATGATTGAAAGAACCTCTCAGTGTTTCACTCTGTTACTCTCTCTTCTTTGTTAATACAAAGTAAGCGTATATTTTGATGAAACTAGATAGTTTTTCCTTTCTTGAGCCTTTCTCTTTCTCTATATCCTTGGTTAGAGGAATATTACTCTGATAGCTGAAAGTGATTTCCTTATGATGTTATTTCGTGGCTTAATAGCCTATTTGTCCCCAATTTTGCTCGATTATATCAATTAGGTCCCTGGTTTAAAAAAAGTGTCTAGTTGGTCCTTACTTATTAAATTTTGTGTCAACCTTGTCCCTCTCGTTAAAAAAAAGCGTCTAGTTAATGGATTGATGATATGGAAGTTCCTTTCCAAATCATTTTTTTAATCTTTGGGCCACCTAATCCCTCTTGCCACGTCAGTTTTGCATTCCCCAAATAGCAGAAACCCTAATTCTTCCACCATCAGCCAAACCCTGTTAAAACGCCGCCACGACCAACCATCCACAACAGAACCACCATCCTACCATACGTCGTTGGCACCAACTATGTCGCCACCACCCACACCGTCAGTGTCGCAAAGCCGCAACGAACTGTCACCATAGATCAATG